AGATTTATATGCACCAAAGTCTCTCTTCACGTGTCTTTTGGTATTATATTCACATACTATTCTGCCTGCTGCCTCAAAACCTTTAAGTCCCTGGTTGTACCTATAATTTTCTTTGGATATCCATTCAGATCTACTGGATTTTGGTAGTCAATCTTTATTAGATACTGCTCTGAGGCCACTTCCATTATGCTCTTTCTGAATATACCCTATCTGCACTGTGCTCCCAATTGTGGATTTGGTTCTATTCATTTTTCCTTCAAATGATGTTGGTAATCACTGTCCCTCTCTTCCGGATATATACTTTAGAACTTATCCTATTTCTGTGCAACGCTTTGTCAATTAATGGATCTTTTATGGAATTAGCCCCATACATTCATTCAACGTCAGTACTTCTGTCCAGATAAAATCAGTTAACGTTTTACACAGAAAAGTTTTTCCAGTTTCTGTACAAAACTGTGTGTATTTGGGTCTCTCATTATAGTTTGGGAAGAATGTTTAGCAAGTCTTTGTAATTAAAATTGTCTTGAGCATAGAGTGACTTTTTCTTGCAACTGGATTTTTAGTTATATTATGATTGTACATCAGACGTGCAATAGATAAGATAGTGAATCCTGTGAAGACTTTCTGGCACATTTTTTACATTTTGTTTATCTATTGATGAGACATGGCACACCCCATCTGCCTTTCCTGCTATTGCACTCCAATGAAATGCAAAAAAGAATCAAGCGTAATATTCCTTGGAAGGGCCTGGGTAGTAGGTGGTGACAAAGGGTGAAGTATTTATGCCTCTGTTAAATAAAAACAGGTCTGATGACATGAGGTCGTCATCTTCTCATGCAAGCTGTTAAGCTTCATGGTGGACTACAAGTCACACGTAACGCCTTGCTCCAAGTCTTTCTTGGGCAGCTGAGTCTCTCTCAATTTAGTCCAGTGAGCAGCTGTAAGAAGTCAGATTAAAAGATCAGATCCAAAAGATCACATTATCAAATTCAAGGAGACTAGTCGGGGAGACTAGACGGGGCGGAGCGGTGGCTCTATGGTTAAGGTTCTGCGCCTGTGACTGGAAGGTTGCCGGTTCAAATCCCACAGCCGGCAGAGGAATCCTACTCCGTTGGGCCCCTGAGCAAGGCCCTTAACCCCAACTGCTCCAGGGGCGCTGTACAATGGCAGACCCTGCGCTCTGACCCCAAGCTTCTCTCCCCGTCTGTGTGCCTGTGTCGCCATGGAGAAAAGCTGGGGTATGTGAAAAGACAAATTCCTAATGCAAGAAATTGTATAGGGCTAATAAAGAAACATTATTATTATTATTAGTCACATCCTTCAGAAAGAGCACTGGGTGACAACTAAGCGGCTCACCAAGAAGAGAAACTGAGTCAAGCAGACGAACACCAGGGCCCTATGGTCCAGACACTAACAGTCCAAGCCTGTACCATATGTAGCCAACTCTGACCAGACGTCCCCAGTGCTAGGGCTGGGATTAGTCTACCAAGACTCCCTTAGTTTTTGGCAAACAGCAACCGCTGTGACTTGCTAGATCCCTGTAGGCTAACTGTAGACAGAAGTGAGGCTAGGCATTCCTCCAATCAACACTAACGCTCCTGTCAGGCGCTGGGGAACTGGCAATGTGTCAAATGATAAATGGCCCTGTAATTGGTCTTGTTGCAGGAACAAGTGTACATGTCTCACTCTCTAAAAAAGGCTCATTACCACAAGAGCGAGCTTAAAGTAACTGGTGATTCAAAATAGGGAGCATGTATTTTTTTCAAATGGAAATTTCACAATAAAAAAAACAGCAATGGATTCCATGAGGAATTAATTTAAAAAAATTTAATCTGAAAGTACTCCGACATACTCGCGGTCTAAACATAATTCTTTAATATTACTCCTTAAAAACCACTGACTCCCAGACACATTTCACGTCGTGATATGAACAATATAACTTAGGAAAAAAGCTAATTTACTGCAATGGTATACAGTATTTCTGGGGACTACTGGTTTAAAACGGCCTTTAACAAATGCATAAAGGAGAATATTTATATCAAAACCTTAAAAAAAGCTGACAGTGCATATAAACCTCAACTGGTAGTCCATTATGCGAAAAATGTGGGTACGACAGTAAAATGTATATTACAATTAAATTATTGTCATAAGTAAACTGCCAATGTAGTTTACAGGGAAATGCTATGACTGTATATATAAAGCAGCACTGGTGTGAGAGCGAGATCTTCAAACAGTGAGCTCTCACACAGGAGCTCAAACAGTTCATCTTTCAATGTTGCAGGAGACTCATAAAATAAGAAGAGCAATAAAAGAGCCAAACCAACACACTTACCATATAATGATTCCATACTGGCTGCGTCATTGTCGATCAGTGCTGAAGCTACCCACACAATTCCCAAAATAAGCAACCCAAGCAGGAACAGCATCACAAAGGTTTCCAAAATTCGAGCTTTAATGCCCTAAGAAAACAAATGAAAACAACCTTTTAACTTCATAAATAAAACCAAAGACCAGCTGCATGAAGAGATCTTTGCCAGGGCTAACCACAGCAGAAGTGACATATCGGTCATGTGTCTCATACGCAACACCGATAAAGTAGATCAAAAGACGGAAAGCATTGGCTTATATACCATTCAAAACTGCACCCCAGAACACAGTAGAATTCACGATTGACATTGGATACATAAACACAATGAAACCAAGTCCTAGTAATTGATTTTGTTACAGTTGCCATAAGCCTGTGAAGAAAACTGAATTAATGTACATTGCTCCTGTATGTACTTTATTCACCCTCAGTGAAACAAAAGACTCAACTTTTTCTTCCATCTTTTCTTCCATCTTTAGGTGACTCAGTATGTCTTGTAAAACTAAAACTCATGTTTCTCCAGCTTGGACAATAACCACTGGGGCTTATTAAAAAGTAACATTTCATTCTATGGAACTACCACATAATTTAGACAAGCCATGTTGCACCGTCACTTAAAAAATAATATTTCGACAATCATTTAGATATTTCCATATATATTTAGATTAATACTTCACATAAACATTTTAGGATCAGAAATGTATCAAAATTATTTTGATTATCACAATCCATTAAAATTACTTAAAAACAGAAGTAAATTCTTCATCATTGTAATCTATGGTAGATCAGTCTCTTCATCTGGGTCAGGCTTACTGTTGGTTCAAGTGCTTTAAGTGCCAAATACACAGATATTTAAAATAAAATCATCGCTGACAAGAATCTAAATTCACCGCAGAAATAATATAAAAACACAAATATATATGCATGAATATACTTACACCTATAAGCATACAAACTAAAATAGAAATAACGATTTGAACATGAATAGACTCATTTATATACTGTGTATATACACACACATAGATATACAGAAGTATACATGCATAAAAAATAACATTTGGTTAACTAGTTTGTTCCAACATGGCAGTAAGTGGTTTTCAAACCCTCTATTTACGTTTGAACTCTAGTACTCTCAATGTAACAGGTAACAGTTCCAAGTTCAAGTGGTTTGGCTCGGTCCCTGGGACAGTAGCCAGTAGCTTTATTATGAAGGTTTCAAAGGTTTCTTCACAAAAAGCCACTCTATCTGCTTTTCTCAAATGACGTACACAAAGTCCCAGGTCTAGGTCAAAGACAAATGAAATCACATCAATAGCATTTGTTTATTTATCCCCTCCCCAGTTTACAGTGCAATAAAGAAATGCTACCAGGATGTGACTCATAAAAAGCAAAGGTCTCAATTTAACCAGGGCTCTGATGAAAGCGAGTATCACTTTACACTAATTCGAAAAAGGTAAGGAAAAGCCTTTATTTATGAAGCATCTCAGTTCCTCCACAGAACTCGCTGTGTGGGCATTTTTACATTTTTGAGATACAGTGAGGGGGCAAAGACTTTGAAGGCATGGCAATCCATTGTAAGCACTGCAGAACAAATGACCAAAAATCACAGAGAGAATTTGCAATTAACTAATTAGCTATCCACCTGCTTTTGCAGTCCTGCTGTGGAAGCATACCACGAATTTGCAAAGCAATAAAGACAGGGAGACGTCCATTCGACGTCTTGCCTTCAGTACTCCTGGGCCATTTGTCGAAATTTAGTACCATTTTCCTTTGTCGTCTGTGTGGGCAGGCAAAAATACCACCGCCAGTGCATTCAAATTCGGCGCAGCTGTGCCGGTACAATATTTCATAACGCAAGCAACACAGCAAAGACCCACAAGTCACAGGTAACTCGTCGGAAAGAAAGGAGAGCGGAAAAGAATGAAGAAAAGGGAAAAGGGGGGCCTCTCGAGTGCCACAGTCAGTGAAGGCTCTTGTGTGCAGAGCAGTGTGAGCCCCCTGGCTCAGGTGTTGTTGGCTCGAGTCTGAGCTCTGCTGGCATGCTAGTATTGATGACATTGAAAATTGCATCTCGCAGATATAGGACAGTTTTTGCTGAATCAGCCTGCAACCCCTCCACCACTCCACCCACTTGAGCCTCCAACCCCATGCCTTTGTTTTCGACATGATTGCCACTATGTGCACATCACAAATTATGAGCATAATCACTCGAACATACAACTTTATGGGGAGAAAACAAAATTAAACCGTTCTTTTTAGTCAGTCAACTAGGACCAGACGGCTTACTTTCATTTTTAACTAAATGCTGACGCATTGGATTATATTAAAATCTCAAGTAACAAGCACTAGCTACAGCACTTCTTATTTTGCTTAGTATTCGGAAATCCTAGAATTCCACTTATTTTGCTACCAAAGCTCACGTATTTACTACTGTAGCGCTGTTAAACCATTAAGAGTTGTTCTGCAGCTACCACGCACAGCACGGTAGAGTAACACACAATTCTTTATACCTGGGATAAAACTTTGTTTTAGTAAGCACCAGCAGCCCCTATGAGTCTGCAGTATTGTCAGTAAGGAATGCATCCATCCCACAGCTCTCCTCTTCTGTATCATTTGTAAATTGATAAACAGATCTACAGCAGGAATGCCGGAAGAGAGCCTACAGTCTTACTAGTGTAGGGTTTGGAGCTGTGGACTATGCTGATTCTCAATTGGTGAATGCAGACAAACTAATCATCCGTCATAATGTTAATAATCTGATTATAAATATGCTTAGCAGATATATGCAGGATGACTTACAAAGTGTACACAGAAAAACCTTAAGTCTAGAATATGTGCATTTCATTTTGATTTACTTGTATTACTTGCCCCTAAATCTCATTCGAGTCCTCTTTTATAGACAAATGCAAGGATCAGTAGAAACAAAATATAAAATGACATAACTGGGATCACAGAAAATGATAACGATTAATGTAGCATCAATGGATACACTGTTCCAGAGAAACAGAAAGAACAGGAGTTGTAGCACTACACAGCATAAAGTGCATTCAGGCTCAGGAACTAAACCTAATGGAATCAAGAAGCTCTAAATTTATTTGGGTCAGACTTGACAAAAATATTTATAAACAGTGTTAGCAGTGTGCAATAGCCCACCAAATGCACATGGTGATTATAATTTAACACTGTACATCAAAATTAAGAATTTTAAGTTCAAAAGGTAGAAGTCATTTTTATGGGAGACTTGAACTTTCCACACACAGACAGGGGAAAACCTAAAGGGATGTCAGCAGCACAAACCAAAGTGACAAACATGGTTAATGACTATTTTTTTACTCAGTCACCTAAAAGAGGGAATGACTATATTGATCACATTTGCAAACAATCTACACAAATTTAGGTAAACAAAGTAAAGATAAGCATTAGGGAAATGTGATCATAATATGCATATGCTTTGATGTATATTTTATAACTGTCCAAAGTCCAAACCAAAAGTTTCCAATTTCAAGGAAGCAAATTTCAAAGGAATAAAACACAGTTTAACATAAGTAGAATGGGGCTGGATAGAGTATAGTTGATAACACTTTTAAAAAAGATTTTGCATGAACCACCAATCAGACTTATCCCAAGAGTAAAGCATAAGATAAAACATAAACAAATCATTAAGGAAAAACAACGTAAAAGAAATAATTTAATGCAACTAAAAAACAACAGGATCCACTTAAAGAAAAGGAGAATAATAAATTCTGAGAACAAGTAAAAAACAGATTTATTATGAAGACCAAAAGAGAAAAAATAAAGATCTTCCAGTACCACAGCAATAACAAAAGAACAACTGAGGATCATATAAAATGTATCCAGGACAACATTGAAAACATCTAGACAATGAAGGGGAAATATCTCACCCAGGTGTTCACTGCGAAAGAAGTCAATATTATTCCTCAAGCAGTGGAAGAACAAAACTTCTATATTGGACACTAACAGAGAAGGCAGAAGTGTTCTGGTTACTAACAGCACCTAAGATTTATAAATGAAATAATAGAACAAGCAACTCAACCATGCTGTTAAAGCACCTATCATACCCTTGATTCCTTCGAGACCCAGATGGGCAAGATCCTTGGGTCAATTAGCTACTAACTACCACATTAATACATGGGCCAAATGGCCGCTTCTTGCATGAAAACTTCATGTTCTTTTGTTCTCTTCACAAAACATCACAATTAATAGACAATCACGCTACCACAACTAATTTTTTTACACACATGAAGGCAATTCAGATAAATTCTTGCGATTCAGTATCAGAACAGTCACTCAATATCAGCAGGAAAGAAAATGGAATAATAAAAAAATCCTTAAAGACCATTTAATTACAAAAAATACCTCAAATGGTCACATCTTCAGGTTAACCAAGTTTGAAAGTCTAAGTTTCCAAGTTCAGGCTTCTACAGAACTTTCTACCACAGCTGTACTAGTCATTGATTTTTTTTTCTCCCTCAAGGAAGCTGTGAATTAGCATTTGTACAGTATGATGTACCCTATATACCGACAATTCACAGACTGCTTTTCAGAATTTAAATTTACTTAATTTCTTTTGCCCTCCTATCTGCTGTACAGTATAACTGTGGACTGTGGAAAAAACACAAACCACACTGACACTGATATTTCAATAAGGCGCAAGTAATCTGTCTGCTGCTAAACTGCAGAGTGAAAGCATGTTTCACAGCCATCTTGCAAAATGTTTGTTCTATGTATCTTGTTTCAATTTCCCTTTTTTTATTTAGATTACAAACAGATCTGGTTAAACAGGCATGCAGCCCATTTAGCAGTCCCGCTTCAGTGACAGAAAGTGTTGGCAGCTTTGTCGCGACATGTAAAAAGTGAGGGGAAATAAATTAATTCTTGCCATATTAAAATGAGCATCTATTCCCTGCCAAAACACTTACACCTTCAAGTTTTTCCTTGTGGTACTTCTGCGCGCAAGCCTCCGACAATCAGCTGCAGCAAGCCAGATGTCTTTTAGTGTACCTCGTTGTGTGGTTTCTCTTTTGTCATAGCTACAGTATATTCCATGTCAAGGTTCATTTTAATCTGGCAGGG